GGTAAATTATAGTCAATGTCATGAGACAAAGTGTATGTGAGCTGCTGTATGGAAAGTGAATTTGCTCTGTAAACTTTCACCCAAATCAATGAAAAAAAAAAAAAAAAGAGAAAGAGAGAGAGAATGCCTTTGCTCTTAGGAGATACATGCTGGGGCAGTCAGGGATAAAAGGCCATGATTTCTGCAACTTATGTCCTCAAATAATTCAGAAAAAAGAAAGATCTATGAAAGGCAGAGAGAGAGAAAGTATCAAATGTGGCAGAATGTTAACAGCTGGTAATTCCAGGTAAAATTCACTGTACTGTTCTTGTAACTTTTCTATACATTTGAAATATTTCCAATAAAAAATGAAAGCTCAAAAACGATTTTTAAAAATCAGGTTGGCTTGATATTGAAGACAGAACATATTAAAGGAAGGTGAAGAAGATGATAAAGGAGAAAGAAGACTGACAGATGTGTAGAAAGATTCTAAGGGTGGAAAAGTTAAGAACAAGGCAAGCAAGCTTCTAAAGGAGACGGTAAAATATATGGTGTCATGGATTGAATTGTGTCCCCAAAAAATATGTTTGGCTAGACCATGATTCCTAGTATTGTGTGGTGGTTCTGCATTTTGAGATCTGATGTAGTTGTCCTAAGTGTTGTACATCCTAATCTCTGCCTGTGGTTAATGAGGCAGGATTAGGTTATGTTTGTTAGGTTAATAAGGATTAGGTGGGATACGATATCCTTACTCAAGTCACAGCCCTGACCCAATGTAAGGGGAGTTTCCTTAGGGTGTAGCCTGCATCACCTTTTATCTTACAAGAGATAAAAGGAAAGAAAAGGGCGTAGAGAAAGAGGGACCTCAGCACCACCAAGAAAGAAGAGCCAGAGCCCAGCACATCCTTTGGGCCCTGGATGCCTGCGCTGAGAACCTCCTAGACCCAGGGGATGACTGATGCCAAGACACATGGAGATCTCCAAGGGATACAGAGCCCACAGATGTTGAAAGGAGACAGGGACCTTCCCCCAGAGCTGACAGAGAGACAAAGCCTTCCCCTAGAGCTGAAGTCCTGAATTTGAACTTCTAGTCTCCAAAACTGTGAGGGAATAAATTTCTGTTTGTTAAAGCCACCCACTTGTGGTATTTCTAGCATAGTGCCTAAGGCAGTTGACTGCTAACCAGAAGGCTGGTGGTTCAAACGCACCAGGCACTCCTCGGAAGGAAGATGGGGCAATCTACTTCCATAGTGATACTGCCTCGG